GGGGGGGTGTCCCCCCACCCGTGGGCAGCGCGGCAGGGGGACCCCGAGGTGGCAGCAGCGGGGGAACACGTGTGCGGGGGGGTCCTAAAGGGGTCCCTATCCCCCCTCCCCCACGGGGGACCATCCTGGCCGTGGGGTCCCACCCGTGACCCCCGGGGACACGACCGAAGCCCACAGAAACACCAGAGACACCAGGGGTGATCTGCAGTGGTGCTGCTGCTTGTGGCCCCCCCCAGCCCCCCCCGGGGGACACGAGGGGGGGGGGAGGACACGGGGGGGACACGGTGGGGACACACACACGGGGTGACCGGGGACAGCTACCGGCCACTGTCCTCCTCCCGTGTCCGGTGCTCAGTGGGGTCCAGCCAGATGGAGAGACCTGGAGGAGAAGGGGGGAGGACACAGGCTGGATGGGACCCCCCCAGTGTCCTCCCCCCACCCCGTGTCTCACCCACCCCCGGGGTGTCCTCAGGGGTGTCCCTGTCCTCACAGGTGGCCCGGGCATGCAGCGTGTCCCCCTCGGCGCTCTGGACGTGGCAGGAGAGGAAAACCTTGCGCCCCTCCAGCCGCTCGGCACGGCCGTCCAGCAGCACCGCGGCACCCAGTGGGACGGGGCTGGGGGGGGATGACAACACCGCATCTCAGGTCCCCTGTCGTGTGCGTGTGTCCCCCCCCTCCTTGGGGACACCCCCCGTCCCCGTCCCTAGTGACACTCATGCCAGGTAGTCGATGCTGAGGTTGGCTGTCATCACCTTCCCAGCTACCGCCAGGGCGCAGGTCCCCAGCGTGCCGTCGATGATGGCAGTGATGGCACCGCCGTGGGTCAGGCTGGTGGCGGCGGGGGACAGATGAGAGACATGGTGAGCGCCAAGGTGGGGGGACACATGGCGGTGGTGGCAATGGTGACGCTTACCCGGGGTGTTCCTCCAGGTAGGGGCCGGGCTGGAAGAGGCAGAGCAGGCTGCACTCGGCGGCGTTGAGAAACATGGCGTACTCAAAGCCGACGCCGGCACCCTCGATGGCGCGGAGGAAGAGCCGCGTGTCCCCCGGTGTCACCGGCACCTCTGCAGGGACGGGAGC